ATGTTTAGCTTAATAAAGATATAGTTGGATAAATACAAAAACAATATAGATATACAGGTTAGTATATTTTACCTAACACTATCTTCTGAGAGGGTCTAGAAACCATGCCACCCACTAGCAATGAGTACACTGCACATTCAGATTCTTCTTGGTTTCTTAATACTGCTTTTTTTTTTTTTTTTTTTTTATAAAAGCAACAGGTTTCTTGGAAAAATAACTGATTCTAAGACCAGGACAGGGAAAATACAAGATGAGCCTAAAACATCTTATAGTACTAGAAAGTAAAAAAAGTGATTTTTTTTTACTTCATAAGCTTCATAAGCGAAGGAAAAATAAAATCTTTTGTGAACAAGCAAGAACTCAGAGATTTCATCACCACCAGGCCTGCTTTACAAGAGCTTCTGAAAGAACCACTACAAATAGAAAGGAACAACCAGTATCAGCCTTTCTAAAAAATGCCAAAAAATAAAGAACATCAACATAATTAAGAAATTGCATCAATTAATGGGCAAAACACCCAGCCAACATTAAATGACAGCATCAAACTCATATATATTGTTATTAATTCTAAATTTAAATTGACTAAATCCCCCAATCCAAAGACACAGACAGGCAAAAAAAGCCAAGACCCATTGGTATACTACATCCAGATCCATCTTACATGCAAGGATACACAAAGACTCAAAGTGATGGAGAAAAATTTACCAACGAAATGGAGAGCAAAAATAAATAAATAGAAAGCAGGAGTTGCAATTTTTGCTGATAAAATAGACTTCAAAGCAACAAAGATCAGAAGAAGCAAAGAAGGATATTACATAAAGATAAAAGAATCAATGTAACAAGAAGAGCTAAAGATCCTAAATGTACATGCACCCAATACAGAAATACCTAGATATATAAGACTTATAAAGAGACTTGGACTCCCACACAATAATAGTGGGAGACTTACAGAGCAATGAGACAGAAAGTTAACATCGATATTCAGGACTTGAACTCCGATCCGGAACAAGTAGACTTAATTAACATTCATAGAACTCTCCACTTTAAATACACAAAATATACACTCTTATCAGTACTACATCACACGTATTTACAGGTTTAAATAAAATATTGGTTGGCTGCTTGTTAATTATTTTCTTCCCTCATTTAATTAATTAATTAATTAATTTATTTATTTATTTTATGTCTCTATTATTAAACATAATTACAGGCATACCCATTTTTAGACTGCATTTTAGCCCGGGCAATAAAGCAACACCCCTGTTCTCTCTCCCTCTTCCTCTTCCTCTTCCTCTTTCTTCCTTTCCTTTATTCTTTTTTTTTCTTTTTCTTTTTCTTTTTATTCTTTTCCTTTCTTTCTCTCTTTCTTCCTCAAAAAAAAAAAAAGTGATTTAAAAGCAAAAGGATGGGAGCATGTCAAAGAGACATAGGAACCAACCTGATAAAGCTCTCAGTGGCCAGCAATGGAACAACTTGAATAACAAAGGGATATAGTATTAGATTGTATTCCAAAGTATATACATGAATCTATCCCAACATAGATAAATGACAGAATAAATAAATAAATGAAAAAAAGAAACAACTGTTTTCTACAGAATAATTTCAAATAACATATGTAGATACTCCCCAATACAAGAAGTGAAGTTTAATTCCTTCTACCCCGTAGGACATTCTAAGCTTTGTAGCTTATTTCCAAAGAGCAGAGAAAGAAGAGGGAAAAGCGATAGATTTACTTTGAAGAATCATGGTGAATGCCCCCTTATCAAAGTGATGAAGGTCAATATCACTGTAATGTCATCTAGATATCACATACACTCTTATATAGTGGGATGCACCCTGTTGCATGCTTTCAAAAACCCATAACCTGAGTGTGATGGTAAGGTTTATGTGTCAACTTAGGCTTCAAAAGTGGACATTTATGACACTTTTCAAAAGACGACATTTATGAGGCCAACAAACATATGAAAAAAGCTCATCATCACTGGTCATTAGAGAAATGCATATCAAAACCACATTGAGATACCATCTCATGCCAGTTGGAATGGCAATCATTAAAAATTCAGGAGACAACAGATGCTGGAGAGGGTGTGGAAAAAAGGAACAGTTTTACACTGCTGGTGGGAGTGCAAATTAGTTCAACCATTGTGGAAGACAATGTGGCAAATTCCTCAAGGATCTAGGAATAGAAATTTCATTTGACCCAGCAATCCCATTACTGGGTATATACCCAAAGGATAATAAATCATTCTATTATAAAGACACATGCACACATATGTTCGTTGTGGCACTGTTTACAATAACAAAGACCTGGAACCAACCCAAATGCCCATCAGTGATAGACTGGACAAAGAAAATGTGGCACATATACACCATGGAATACTATGCAGCCATAAAAAAGTATGAGTTCATGTCCTTCATAGGGACATAGATGAATCTGGAAACCATCATTCTCAGCAAACTGACACAAGAACAGAAAACCAAACACCACATGTTCTCACTGATAGGTGGGTGTTGAACAATGAGAACACATGGACACAGGGAGGGGAGCATCACACACTGGGGTCTGTTGGGGGGGTAGGGGAGGGACAGCAGTGGGTGGGGAATGTTGGGGAGGGATAACATGGGGAGAAATGTCAGATATAGGTGACGTAGAGATAGAGATAGCAAACCACCTTGCCATGTATGTACCTATGCAACATGATCTGCACATGTACCGCAGAAGCTAAAGTAAAAAAAAAAAAAAAAAAGAAAAAATTGTTTTTAATTTTACACACCTAAAAAGCACATATTTTATAAAAGAACAACTTGATAAATTTTTACAAAATACATGTACTATGAGAACCCAGCCCCCAGTGATGGAAGAGTGTGAACCTGAAAACTCTGCCTCTTTTATTCTCCTTTACAATCACTCTTCCCCCAAAAGAAACTTATAGCCTGGCTGTTTATACAATAAATAATATTTGCCTGTTTTTGAACTTAAAATAAATAGATTAATACGTTAAAAATACTCAGTTACTCAATCAAACACAAATTTAGGTGTTGCTATGCAGGTATTTTGTAGATGTGTTTAGCCTGTATAATCAGTTTAAGCAAAGAAGATCATCCTAAGTAATCTGAATGAAAAGAAGTGAGATTTCCTGAGGAGGTAGGAATTCTGGACTGCAGATTCAGGTCCTGCCTGAAAGTTTCTAGCCTATAGTTTCTCATGTTCTGTCCAGATTTTTGGTCTTATTGAACAAGTCCCATAAGCCAAGTCCTTGCCATCTATTCATCTATCTATATATCCATCTATCATCTGTCCATTCTAGCTCTTTCTCTCGTGAATACCAACCCAGATTGGAAAACATTCTACAGAATACTGGCCAGTCCCACTCAAGACTTTCAAAGACATAAAAAGCAAGGGAAGACAGAAAGTTTAGAAATCTAGAAGACTTAGGAGGTCTGACTTTCAAACATACTGTGCTACCGTGGATTGAATCCTGGAACAGAACTAGAGCATTAATGGGAAAATAAATGTTAGAACATAATTAACTTTAGGATTTAGTAATGTACTAATGTTTATTTCATATATCATGATAATGTAAGATAATAAAAATGGATAAAACTGGATGATATATGAGAACTCTTTGTACTGTCTTTGAATTATTTAAAAATTTTAAATTATTCCAAAAGGAAAAGGTTTTGTTTGATTGTTTTTTGTGATTTTTTTTTAGAGAGTGTCTCACTCTGTCACCCAGGCTGGAGTGCGGTGGCACCAACATGGCTCAACTAAGCCTCAGCCTCCTGGGCTCAAGTGATCGTCTCGCCTCAGCCTCCTGAGTAGATGGGACCACAGGTGTGCTCCCCTGTGCTCAGCTAATTAAAAAAAAAATGTAGAGATGGGATCTCACCATGTTGTCAAAGCTGGTATTAAACTCCTGGGCTCAAGCAGTCCTTTCGCCTCAGCCTCCCAAAGTGCTAGGATTACAGGCATGAGTCATTGGGCCTAGCCAAAAAAGTTTTTCATGTGTATGAAAAATCATCTCTCTCTCTCTCTCTGTCTCTGTCTTTGTATTTCTATCTATCTGTCTGTCTATAAACAGGCATAAAGACAAATGCCAATCATTTGGAAAAGATTTTCGATAATTATTAAGCAAATAGGAATGACGTGAGATAAAATCTGCAGACTTCAGCTCATTTCAAGCCTTGGTTCCATATCACAAACAATATTTACCTAACAAAAATGAACTATACTTTATACCTTCCTTTTCCCATATCCATTAGGTAACTTTAGACCCAAGGTATGAACAATATATAGATATGCGTCCCCTTTCTACCTCTCAGGTGACACTGGTGAGTCAGTTTCTGCAACCCAGGAAGATAATGAAAAGCTCAGAAAATAGGTGGGCATGTTTTTCATCACGAATTCTGAAGAAGAACTCAGAACAACAACAACAACAACAAAACATCCAAATCAGTAATGTTTTCTCAAGCTGAAGAAAGACATGTATATGCACTAAAAGCCAGAACTATTAATATCTACACCCACACTGCTCCTATTTACATTAACGTGGCTTTATTATTCCCAGAAATTCCTGCTCTGGAAGGTAAAAGTTGCAAATAACGTTTTTTTTTTCTGCAAATAATTTTATTCATTACTCTAGAAACTTCCTGAGAGATCCACCAGCTCTCCAACAGGAAGCAAAGGTTATATCCCAAGATATTTTTTTCATCTTCCAATTTATTTGTAAATGTGGGGAAATTTGAATACTTATGTTTAATGATATTAAAAATGTTATCTTTTAGGAATATTAATGCTATTGTGGCTCTTTTTTTTTCCCAAAACATTTTGAAACTTTCTCTTCAAAATCCTCTCCTACCTTTGCCTACCAATACTGTATTATTCTACCATGATTCTTACCCAATCCTAATCAAATCTCTTCCTTTCCTCTTCCCTGTTAAAAGACCTACCTTAAGCCATACTTCAGAATCTCATAAATACCTTTGTGCTTTTTTTTCAGAGGTGCTGTTAACACTGGGAGTAGTGCTTTCTCTCACTGAGGTAAGCAATAAACTCGGCTTTGTCTTATTGATTTGTTGATATTTTAGAAAGCTAGTTATTTGACAGTGGGTTTAAAAACTTCACTGTATTCCAGGAAAAATACAATGAAGATACAATGAAAACATATCTCCACCTGATCACAGCATAAAAAGCAATGAACTACATAGATTAAAATATCTTATAATTATCTAAGTAGACAAAAGTAATTGACCTTTTAAGGAGGAAAATTCGGTTTTGTTTCATGTTGTCCAATGCAAAATGTCCAATGCCCAAAAAAATATTGAAAGCTGGGCGTGGTGGCTTACACCTGTAATATCAGCACTTTGAGGGGCTGAGGTGGGAGGATCACTTGAGCACAGGAGTTCAAGTCCAGCTTGTCTCTACAAAAACAAAAACAAACAGAAACAAAAACCATAATTAGTAGGTAGTCCCAGCAACTTGGAAGCTGAAGCAAGAGGATTGCTTAAGCCCAGGAGGCTTAAATGAGCCATGATTGCACCACTGAACTCTAGCCTGGGTAATAGAGTGAGACTCTATCTCAAAAGAAAAAAAAAAGAACAAAAAAAGGAGTGTATAAAAAAATTCTCTGACATAAGAATTTTATCATCCTATCATTTAGATAATAGAAAAATAATTTCAGATTTTATTAAGAAAATATTGTCTACTTTTTTGAAAAATTATTAGTGATACCATTCAACAGAATGAGAGTTTATGAAGCACAAAACTGTGAAATGTTTCCATTAAAATCAGTTAGAGAAAAATTAAAAATATTTTCATTGTTATGAGACAAAGTTTCAAAAATTTATTCTTGAAAGAAAATACATATTATGTGAAATTAAGAATTTGATAATAATGTAACAATAATAATCTATATCAGATATTAAGTTAACAAAATCTATATCAAAAATTAAGTTACCAAAGGCTGAAAAGTGGAGTTGGAAACTGTATAGTAAAGGAATCAAAATATGAAAAACTAACTTATATAGAGACCTAAATAAAATTTTTCACTTGGAACTGGCATTTAAATAAATGTCTTTAAAAGCTTTTGTAAAAAGAAATATCATTAGGATAAAAGGTAAGTAAAATACTTTCCCTAATTTGAGTAGGACATAAAGTGGGGTGAGCAGAGGTAAGCAAGTTGAAAATGAATTTGGTAGAGGTGAGCAGAGGCCATCTCATAAAGGACAATGCAAGCCACATTACTGTGTTTAAACTCTAATGATGCAAGTTTTGTTTAAGAAGCTTGAAGTAAGAATAGATACAGTGTGACAAGAGCATTGAAGTAATCCAGTTGAAAAATGATGGTGGCCTGTACTAGGAAATTGGCAATGGTGATGGAAAGAAGTGGAAGGTTTTGCAAGATATAAGAAGATTAAAGTAGATATGCTTGTCAATTGATTGGCTGGCAGGGTTGAGGTAGATAGAAGAATTGGGGTTTCTGATTTGATACCAGTGAATGATAGGGCCATTTACTGAGATTGGTGGTTGGTAGGGAATGAAAACTGAGTCTGGGCTGAAGATACAGACATGTATCACTACATATACATTCAATTGTTCTACAACTAGTAAACGAACACGTGTTTGTTAGATACCTTACTGGACTCCGGGAAGACCATGTTAAGTAGGAAAGACACAATTCCTGTTACTGCAGAATTTATGATTTAGCTCAGAGCTTAAGAGAAATCTGAATGTGATGACTACTTTTCCAGAATTATCAGGTGTCCTTGTTAAAGTACTAAATTTGGTCCCACCTTGGTCTATGAGACAAAGAGAATTTTCCTGTTGATTCTTACACATGTTAAGATTTGAAAGCTACTAATTTATATAACTGAAACTTTTCATTCATGACATCACCCAAGGGAGGTGAAGAGAAGGAAAACACCACCAGTGTTTATCAGAAGCCCAGAGGAAGAGCAGTTTATAAAAGACACTGAAAATTGATGGCCAGATATTTAAGAAGAAAACCAGAGTTTGTGTTGTGTTAGAAGACTAGATAAAGGAATCATTAATGTAGGAAAATTTGCTGAATATTAAAACTGTTACCAAAAAGTCAGTAAGATGAGATCTGAAGTATACTGACTGAATTTTGTGACTCCAGTGAGAGCAAGTTGAGCAATTTTGAAGTGGTAGGTGAGGAAGCGAATACCATGCCAAGAGCCAGCAATGCATCCATGAAATCCGTGAGGAAGAAGGTCAGGAGAGAGTAATAATCAGAATCTCAAAGGAGTTTGAGGGAGAATATTTTTTAAAAAGACAACTGAATACAACATTCTGATAGGAAAAAGAAACTGAAGAAAAAAGAGTGAGAGAAGAGTGTTTTAAAAAATTGTAGTGAGTCTTGTGGGGTAAGACAAAGAACACAGGATCTAATACAGATCTAACGAGATTTAATAAGATCTAATAAAACAGGCAGTAATAAAGGAAGAAAGAACTCGGTTCTGTTTAGGAGATTAATCTTGAAGAGTATAGTCACCTGTCTCTGTTCATCTTTTTATAAACAGCACCTATTATTATGCCTGGCAGACAGCATGCCCTTAATCAATACTTATTAAATGAATGGATGATTTGGGAAGTGGTCAGTAGTTCATCTTCAATTTCTCTATAAAATATTAGTTAAAAATCTATGATAAGTAAAGGAGGGGAATGATGGGATCAGAGACTGATCAGAGTAAAGAAGCATTGAAATAGTTTCTGTAGAGAAAATATGAGATGAAAAGGTTGCAAGAGACCATGGAATCTCAGCATCTGTTACACAGAGGTTGATTTTCTCCATCAGCATCCACAAGAGATGAAGACAGAAATTAGGTTTGTCCATTTTTTCCAAGGACCTACTTTACAGTTAGGTTAGGTCTTTGTTGTCTTCTGCTGCCTCAGAGATTTCTCCATTAAACTCAAGATGCACCCTGTCCTGCAGTACTGTCTTGTCTTGCACTTGTAATGGATATTCCACCTAGAGACACACCTCACCAAGGTATGTTCTACTTTATGATAATCATAGGCTTATTTTATTCCACCTGTCTTCTTGGTAATGACCCTGTGCTGGATGACATAGACCTAGTTCTGGTATCCCTGAGGCCCCATTTACTCCATAACAGCTTCCCCAGTGGGACATACTGTCTGAACACGTTCTGTCAGAATCCCAGGTGTCTTTCCAACTTCCCTGTTTGTCATCAATTGACTTAATTTTTTTAACTTTATCTTTCTTTCTTTCTTTCTTTCTTTCTTTCTTTCTTTCTTTCTTTCTTTCTTTCTTTCGTTCGTTCGTTAGAGATAGGGTCTCATCATGTTGTCCAGGCTGATGTCAAACTCCTGGGCTCAAGTGATCCTCCCATCTTGGCCTTTCCAAGTGCTGAGGTTACAGGTGTGAGCCACTGCACCCCACCCATCTGTTGACTTTCAATGCAAGTAAATGCTGGATTCATGAAATTGTTGTATGATTTTTCTTTCTCTTAATGAAGGCTGCTTAATCCTAGTTGCATACTGTTTCACCATTCATCCAGAGCACATGCATCAGATCCACAGGGCCAAGTTGCAGCTAGCTTATATAATGCATTTGTACAAATAAGAAAACAATGCCTCTTCTAAGCAGGTTGATTAGGAAAAAAATCATATTCCTTGAGCCAATGCAGCACCAGGAAGAATTTGGAAGAACAGATGGTATATTTGTGTTGAGAAAGAGGTACTCAGTCTTTTGGGAAAGAGCAACTACCAGGCAGGCCAGCTACAGTTAGATGGTGGAACAGAGGTGGGGCTTGGGCCCCATTCACCACTGTGGCTGGAGCCTGTGGGCAGAGTGGAGGCCCTGATGGTTCTGAAACAGACTCATACAAAGTTTTATATAGATGAAGGGGTGATAAGGTGACAACTACAATGCATCCACAGAAAAGGTCATTTTCATGCACTCAATTCAGATCATTATTTAAATACAAAGATGAGAATTCTTTTGCTTTCAATTCTATGTCCTTTACAAAAAAAATGATAATGACAACATGGCACTTTTGTAGTCTTAGTGCCACACATCACTTCAGTTTTAACCTTGTTTAAATTACTAAACTGAATGTTTTTGTTTATAAATGTGAGAGGAAAGGGAAAAGCCAAAATATTGCACAACTAAAAAAGCCTATTGTTCTGAATAATAAAACTGCCAGAGAAGGTAAATTGTGCTTCAGTGCATGAATTTACTTAAAGAAGATAAAAGACTTTGTTTCCTCAAACTCTCTGATAGAGACACTAAATCAAATCCCAAATATGGAGTAGCAGATATTAGATGTCAGATGCATGGGTCATTCATTCATCTCCCCCTTTCCTTGCTATAACTCAGCTCAGAACAAGGGAAAAGGAGTCAGCTGTAATTAAGATGCAAAGACTAAATCTCAATCCTCCAGGCGCTGACGGCAAGTGTCTGAGGTAGCAGTCTCTGAAGTATTAGTGCATGACTGAAGAAACTTTATGATAGGAAAAGATTCAAAGGTGGGGGACAGTGGATAAGGAAAGATATCATATGATTTTTTTTCTCATTAATCTCTAATTTTTCCCTCCAGTTGCAGGTTCAAAGCCTGTAGGAGAATTTTTTTTAAATATCATGAACAATGACTCTACTTCCCTTCAACTTTGCTATTTTGGAAATTGGGTCTATAAAGACTAAACAAATATTGTGATGAACCTTTTAGTTACCGTGCATCAGTTGCTTTCAGGTTAATTAAGTGAAACTCACTAAGGCCTAAATTGATGGGTTTATTTTGGGACTGTCCTAAAATCCAAATCTTTGTAATTCCCAAACTGAATGAATCTTATGCTTACATTGTGGCCCCCTCTAAATGGGGAGGAGCAATTTAGGCCCCAAACATGCATTCTTTTTCCTGTGCAATATCAATTCAATTTCAACCATCTGAAAAATTACTCAATTAAAGTCTAGTTTCTGAATACAAGTGATTGCCCATCCTGGAATAGCTCTCTTTGTCTTCAGTCTTTTCTGCAGAGTAGGCAGATAAGGGGCTGGCTGGGCTGACAACATGTATGTGTACAAACCCGCACACTAGAGTAATGATCCTAGGCGTACCTCTGTATTCAGGAACTTTGTGTTGTTGTTGGATAATCCTTGGGCGTTTGAGGTTTTTTTTTTTTAATTATATTGTTCATGCATTCATTATATGTTTGTTTAAGGCACACACTAAATTTTAAATATCTGAAATGACTAATTTACTAAATTCATTTTTGAAGCCAGAGTTGTGTGACGAGTTAAAGCAATTCAATCTTGCATAAAAACATAATGAACATCTGCTGGATTAAGCAGGGGAACTAGAATGAGTAGGACACAGCCTCCATCTTGAGAAGTATACATTCCGGTTGGAGGACTGAGAAAAGAATACAAATAATTACAATATAAAGTAGGTGAGGATGAGTTTTTCAGGAGGGAAAGTGGGTTCAAAGAAGGAGTACTCGTCCATTTGAAACTACAAAATATTTTTACTGAACTTTAAAATTTAAGATTGTATTGAAAGATGAGTAAAATTTGACAGAATAAAATATTACGCATATAAGGAATCATATAACAAAGGTACAGAGAGGAAAAGACTGCCCAGCAAATGGTTACTTTTAGCTAGAGAATGGGGTTCATACACAAGAACATTAGCCATTAAGGCCGGATACACTTTAACCTGGGAACAATGTAAACTAAATTGGAGTGAAGAAAGAAATGAATGCTAAGGTGGAGGGTGGAGTTGGTTCAAGGAAGGGACTAGAAAAATAATTCTAGGGAGGTAAAGAAGAGTTTAGCTAAGGTAGTAACAGTGGGGAAAGAAAAGAAGGGATGGATAGGAAAAACTTTCTGAAGGACTGCTTGCTGGGAACTGTTAAAACCTTAGATGTGGTGACTAGGGAGACAAAGAGACCACCGGTGACTGAGAATGAACCTGGTACCCAGAGAATGGTGTTGCCTGAAAACAGAGATAGGAAAGTCAAGAGGAAGAATTGGCTGTGGAGAAAACAACATTTCTGTTGAGATTTAGTTTATTTGAATGCTTTGGATGGCCCGGAGTTAAGGAGATATATTTCAGTCATATGCATTCATGTGTCAAAGCCATCATGTTGCAGCTATGGGTATACATTTGGGTGCCATGTGCTTAATGATGAAAGTTTAGATGGGAAGATGTCGGGCATTATGAAAGAGTGAGAAAAGCAAGGGAAAGAGCAAAGGTCAAAGGGAGTATCAGGTCGTCAGAATGTCAAATCATGCAGACAAATGGGCAGCAAAGCTATTTTTGGTGCTTGGGTGATCACTGACAACATTAAGGAGAACTTTTCGTCTAATACTGAGAGTGGGGTCAGAAATAAAAGTCCTAAGTGCGGTAGTGTGATGCCTCCCGCTTTGTTCTTTTTGCTTAGAATTGACTTGGTTCTGCGGGCTCTCTTTTGGTTCCATATGAAGTTTAAGGTGGTTTTTTCCAGTTCTGTGAAGAGGGTCATTGGTAGCTTGATGGGGATAGCATTGAATGTGTAAATTACTTTGGGCAGTATGGCCATTTTCACGATATTGATTCTTCTTAACCGTGAACATGGAATGTTTCTCCATCTGTTTGTGTCCTCTCTGATTTTGTTGAGCAGTGGCTTGTAGTTCTCCTTGAAGAGATCCTTTACATTCCTTGTTAGTTGTATTCCTAGGTATTTTATTCTCTTTGTGGCAACTGTGAATGGCAGTTCGTTCTTGATTTGGCTCTCTTTAATTCTGTTATTGGTGTATAGGAATGCATGTGATTTTTGCACATTGATTTTGTATCCTGAGACTTAGCTGAAGTTGCTTATCAGTTTCAGGAGATTTGGGGCTGAGACAATGGGGTCTTCTAGATATATAATCATGTTGTCTGCAAATAGAGACAATTTGACTTCCTCCTTCCCTATTTGAATACCCTTTATTTCTTTTTCTTGCCTGATTTCTCTCGCTAGAACTTCCAGTACTATATTGAACAGGAGTGGTGAGAGAGGGCATCCTTGTCTAGTGCCAGATTTCAAAGGGAATGCTTCCAGTTTTTGCCCATTCAGTATGATATTGGCTGTTGGTTTGTCGTAAATAGCTTTTATTATTTTGAGATACGTTCCGTCAATACCTAGCTTATTGAGTGTTTTTAGCATAAAGCACTGTTGAATTTTGTCAAAGGCCTTCTCTGCATCAATTGAGATAATCATGCGGTTTTTGTCTTTGGTTCTGTTTATGTGGTGAATTACGTTTATAGACTTGTGTATGTTGAACCAGCCTTGCATCCCTGGGATGAAGCCTACTTGATCATGGTGGATAAGCTTTTTGATGTGCTGTTGCAATCGGCTTGCCAGGATTTTATTGAAGATTTTTCCATCTATGTTCATCATGGATATTGGCCTGAAGTTTTCTTTTCTTGTTGAGTCTCTGCCGGGTTTTGGTATCAGGATGATGTTGGTCTTATAGAATGATTTGTGAAGAATTCCCTCTTTTTGTATTGTTTGGAATAGTTTCAGAAGGAATGGTATCAGCTCCTCTTTGTAAGTCTGGTAGAATTCAGCTGTGAACCCGTCTGGACCTGGGCATTTTTTGGGTGGTAAGCTCTTAATTGCTGCCTCAACTTCAGACCTTGTTATGGGTCTGTTCAGGGTTTCGGCTTCTTCCTGGTTTAGGCTTGGGAGGAGGCAAGTATCCAGGAGTTTATCCATTTCTTCCAGGTTTACTAGTTTATGTGCATAGAGTTGTTTGTAATAATCTCTGATGATGGTTTGAATTTCTGTGGAATCTGTGGTGATATCCCCTTTATCATTTCTTATTGCATCAATTTGGTCATTCTCTCTTTTCTTTTTTATTAATCTGGCTAGCGGTCTGTCTATGTTGTTGATCGTTTCAAAAAACCAGCTCCTGGATTTATTGATTTTTTTAAGAGTTTTTTTTTTGTGTGTCTGTATCTCCTTCAGTTCTGTTCTGATCTTAGCTATTTCTTGTCTTCTGCTAGGTTTTGAGTTTTTTTGATCTTGCTCCTCTAGCTCTTTCAATTTTGATGATAGGGTGTCAATTTTTTATCTCTCCTTGCTTCTCATGTGGGCACTTATTGCTATTATTTTCCTCTAGACACTGCTTTAAATGTGTCTCAGAGATTCTCTACAAGGCTACAGTAATCAAAACAGCATGGTACTGGTATCAAAACAGAGATATAGACCAATGGAACAGAACAGAAGCCTCGGAGGCAACACTACGTATCTACAACCATCCGATCTTTGACAAACCAGACAAAAACAAGCAATGGGGAAAATATTCCCTGTTTAATAAATGATGTTGGGAAAACTGGCTAGCCATGTGCAGAAAGCAGAAACTGGACCCCTTCCTGACATCTTACACTAAAATTAACTCCAGATGGATTAAAGACTTAAACATAAGACCTAAGACCATAAAAACCCTAGAAGAAAATCTAGGCCAAACCATTCAGGACATAGGTGTAGGCAAGGACTTCATGACCAAAACACCAAAAGCATTGACAACAAAAGTCAAAATAGACAAATGGGGCCTAGTCAAACTCCACAGCTTCTGCACAGCAAAAGAAACAGTCATTAGAGCGAATCAGCAACCAACAGAATGGGAAAATTTTTTTGCAGTTTACCCATCTGACAAAGGGCTGATATCCAGATTTTACAAAGAACTAAAACAGATTTACAAGAAAAAAACAAACAAGCCCATTCAAAAGTGGGCAAAGGATATGAACAGATACTTTACAAAAGAAGACAAATGTGAGGCCAACAAACATATGAAAAATGCTCATCATCACTGGTCATCAGAGAAATGCAAATCAAAACTACATTGAGATACCATCTCTGGCCAGTTTGAATGGCAATCATTAAAAATTCTAGAGACAACAGATGCTGGAGAGGATGTGGAGAAATAGGAACACTTTTGCACTGTTGGTGGGAGTGTAAATTAGTTCAACCATTGTGGAAGACAGTGTGGCGATTCCTCAAGGACCTAGAA